AGAGAGAGAGAGAGAGAGAGAGAGAGAGTGTGTGTGTGTGTGTGTGTGTGTGTGTGTATATTTTCCCCTCCATCCCCTTGTTAACACAAATTGAAGCAGCAAAACACACTTGTTTTTAAAGGTATTAATTGTAAAACGATAGACATGCGAAGGTTGCATAAGTCATAATCCCTGCCCCACAGAAGCAACCCACGGTCAATTTGGCAATGAAACATGGACATATAATAAGAAGATCATAGAATCTTAGATCTTGAAAGGAACTTAAAGATCATTGAATATTTTTTATTGCACATAAGAAGATCCAGAAAGGCAAAGTGCACAGTCAATTTGGCAAATGAAGAAGTAGAAACTAACTTCTATTTCAGGGGTCTCTCCATTAGTTCAGAAGAGCTTCATAAAATAGAGAGTGAGATCATCCTGTAGGACAATGGTAGAATCCTTTTACCTTTTCATTGCGCTGTACTCACGGTAGGCAGTGCAGAGAGCTCTTCCCCTTGTCTTCGTGCTGACTTTTGGCCAACTTCAATCATGTTTTTCTCCAAGCGGAGAGAATGCTGTCCTGTTTGGTCAGAACCTGAGAAGTGAATTGAACTGCACTTACTGGAAGCAGGGTCCCTGTACATTAAAATGTCATGTGCATGTGACTGCCTCTTTTCTTTTCCACTAATTCATTTGCGCGTAACTGGCAGATATATTAGACCAGATCTGTTCCTTGGGGAAGATAGACTTCTTTCTCTCTTATTCTCTGATTTCCATTTTTCATGTGGCTGGCTCAATGGTGGTTAAATCCCAAGATTAGAATTATGGCTTCAAGAAGAAGTTGGGACCTACATAGGTCTCTGAACTAAGCTGTGTTCTTTTACCTGGAAAACAGAGGTTATAACATAATGGAGTTTGGTTATATTTTTGAGTAGTATTGAGAAGTCTCTTCTTTCTTGGATTCTCAGGCTAAACAACTAAGACACTGATTTTAGAAACTGTTTAATGGAAAGAGTGGGTTAGTATGACTGTTAATCAACAACTTGTTTCAGTGTTCAGCATTTGATCCATAGAGAACCCAAGTTAAATATTAAAGGCCCCTTTCAGAGTGTGTAAAGTAGGGAATGAAGTGAATTTATATTGAGAAGGAAAATTGTGTAGTCCTTTTACTAAGAAGGAAATAGGTTACCTCTGTGGAAGCATTAAAAATATTAAGGACAGTGGCAACCCTCATTACTTTATGCTGATTTGTGTTGCACTTCCCTGAAACTGTGTTAGGCACTGATTAGGGGGAGCTCCTCATCTTTAGGTATGATTCTTTTAATGGGAGATCAGTGAAATATACAAAATGCCAAGGAAGATTTGTTCTCACAGCTACTGGTAATGAGCTTTAACAATGAAAAGAGAATTTAAGCTATTCATAATTAAGTTATGGGCTGGGATGGAAATGGTAACCAGAACAAAGAAAATAAACATTGAACTGGGTAGAACTATTTATGTGATTGTGTTTTTTAAGGCAGGGGATAAAGGGGAACAGAGAAGCAGGAAAATTCACAGGACCCATACAAAGGGTTTGGTTGCACATTAACTATAGCTGAGATAAGGGAAACCCACTCTAGCTCCTGCATCCACCTCACCTAAGTTAACCTATCAGATCTGTTCCAGTTATCCCATCCTGGATGAGTTTAAAGCCAGCGATGCTGTGTTTAGCTCAGGATAGTGATTTTAATTCATCTATTAATGTTCTGGGAGAAAAGGACAATCAACTTGAGGGTCAAGAAATCTTTATTTGACCCCAGGTAAGAGGTCTAAGATTGTATGATATAGTCAATGTTGAGTGGCAGAGGACAGTGGAAAACCTCTTTGGGATTATTGAATGATGATGTGAAATGTACCATAATACCAGCAGGGTAATGGAAAGGCAACATTAACGTCTGAAAATTGAAGCTTGGGGCATATGAAAATGTTATGGTAGGTTACACCAGAATCACTCTGAAGCTGAAGCTGGAGAAATAAGAAAGACTGAGTTTTTGCCTTGCCCTGAATATGTAATTAAAATGGATGTGATGAGATGAGTGATAGAGCTAACCCTTATCTGTAAGTTTTGAATTTATATTTTTTCTTCCCATGTACAAAACCATTTTTTTTGCTACAAAAATAAATAAATAAATAAATTTTTTTAAAAATGGATGTGATGAAGGT